TGTATCGTTCAAGAGACACACTGGGATACCAGCTCGGAGTTCTTTTCTGGACGATGGGTCTGTGTACATAGTGCCCCAGCCGCTGAAGCACGCCACGCTGACAGGTACGCTGGAGTACTTGTGCTCCTCTCGCGAGCCCATTTCCTGGACCCGGCTGTACACGAGGCCATCGGAGGTCGTGTGATACATGTGCGTGCAAAGCTGAAGCAGTCGGGGGTCACAGTAGACATATTAGCCACGTACCAGCATGTCTGGCGCAGTCACCTATCCTTGCTCGGAAATCGGGAACTGCGAAACACAGTCTGGGATGCCATGGACACCATCATTGCCTCCCTCCCATCTCGCAATCTCCTTGTTGCTTGTGGTGATTACAATACCAATCTGCGACCCTGCCTCCCACATGTAGGTACCGCCGTAGGCCCCGAAACCAGTGCCAGCAAGCTTGATGAACAGCTCCAGCACATGATGCTGCGACATAATCTGTGTGCACTGAACAGCTGGCACGCGCGGCCGGCGTGCACTTATTATGGGCATACAGGGTATTCTCAGATAGACTACATAATCACCCGCAGGGCCACGGCCACGGGCATCAGCCGACAGGCCAGGCCCCTCCACAGGTTTCCTGTCGCAAGCTGGCGCCAGTCGGGGCATTATCCTGTGGAGGCGCGCATACCGGTCCTGCCGATTCATTGGAGACCAGGCACGCAGGGGCAAGCCACTGCACGCATCGACAAAGCCCGCCTTATCCAGGCAGCCACGGGCAGCAATCCTGACGGAGAGGCGCTGCAGGCGCTTGTCGCTGGCAAGCTGCAGCAGGTCTCCACTGCAGACCCGCATGAGCTGCACGCCCAGGTCAATGCAATACTGCAGCAGAGCGTGCAGCAGATCTTCCCGCAGCAGCGGGCTGCTGATGGCCGTGTCAGTGCCCAAGAGCCCTTCCGAGCATCCGCTAGAGAAACCTGGCGTCTGTATGCTGCACTCCGTAGGCCGCGGGTGGCCACCATGGCTGCTATGATCCACAAGTGGAAGCTGCACCTGGCTTTCGCCAGAGCCTCAAGAGCACTACGTCAGCAGAGCAGGGATTTGAAGCGCGCAGCTTTTGCGGCCAAGCTTGCACAAGCAGAGGAGGCTGCCTCCTGTGGCGACCAGCGAACACTCTATCAGATTGTTCGGTCCCTAGCTCCTGCTTCCAGTCGTCTTTTTTCGCGCCTTCGTGATACACAGGGCAATTTTCTCACTAAGCATGAGGAGGTTCGGGCTCTGGTAGCGCAGGGTAAAACAACCTATTCACTTCACGCCGATAGACCCGTCGCTGGGGTACTGTCTGGCTCCATAGACCTCACAGATGAGGAAATCACTCAGCAGTTCCGGAAGATCAAGGCTGCCAAGGCTGTTCCCAGCCACCTTGCACATGCCGCTGCATGGAAAATCTGTGCTAGCAGCCTCGGCCCTCTCTTCGGTGATTCTCTTCGACAGCACCTTGTGCAGGGCCACGCCGGCCTCCTGCATGGCGACCTCACCGATGCCCAGATGGTCATGCTGCCTAAGGCAGGCAAGTCGCCACACATCTTAGCGCATCTCAGGCCTATTGGCCTTATGGGTCCGCCTTCCAAGGCCATTGCCGGTGCTCTGCGAAATCGCATGCTTGCGCAGCTGGGGCAATTGATCCGCTTCAGGCCACAGTTCGCTTACACTGCGGAGAGGGGCACGCTGGATGCCCTCTTCCGTATCCACAGGCATGTGTCGGAGGCCACCTTGCTTGTCCGAGCCAACCGCATTTCGCATTTTGGGATGCACGCGGGCAGAAAACCACTTGCCTTAGCGGGCGCCCTCAGTCTATCCCTCGACCTCAGTCGAGCCTTTGATCTTGCAGACCGTTGTCAAATCTATGACACACTTGAACGCCATCAGGTCCCCAGGGCGGTCATTGATGTGATACAACGCCTTCACACAGGCTCCCGATTCGTCTATAAGGCGGGTGCACACAGTGATGCCTTTGTGCCCACAAATGGGTTGAAGCAGGGATGCAAAATAGCCCCATGCCTTTGGGTATGGTACACCATAGCCCTCTTCGATACTCTCGGAGCACGCCTCAGTGAGACGTGGGTCCGCCATACACCCACCGTGTTCGCGGATGACTGCTGGGCGCATTGGCTGATACGCTCCCTTGAAGATCTCCAGCGTGCCGTGCGTGAAATGCAAATCTTGCTTTGCACGCTGGAAGACTACAAAATGCGTATAAACTTCACGAAAACAGCCATCCTTGTCAAGCTAGTTGGAAAACAGGCGGCCCAGGCCATGCACAATTACACATGCTACCGGCAAGGTGTTCAACACTTGATTGTGGTGGTAAATGGTAGTACCCAGTATATTCCGATCAAGCTTGAACACGAATACCTGGGGTCTAAGGTTAGTTACACCAACGGTGCTGAAAGCAACCTTGAACACAGGCTCCAAGCCGGACAGCTCCGCTACCATGCAATCCGCCGTGCTCTGACAGGACGGCATGCCATCACGACGGAACATAGGGTACGACTATGGACAGCGTGTGTCTTCACCAGCACAGCGTACTCATTGGCAGCGGTAGGCATCTCCGCTCGAGGCCTCAACAAGTGGGAGACTCGCGCACTCAAGCACCTCCGCGCGATACTTCGGAAGCCATCGCATCTCACCCATGTCTCCAATGATGAAATCTGGATGCAGGCACGCGTTCGCAAACCGCGGGACCAGCTCCTCGGGCAGGTCGCCCAGGTTCGACAAAAGCTGGAGGCTAAGGCCCAACATGTGCCTGACATCACCACAGAGGCGGAGACTTTACAATATGTGCGTGGTCTAGAGGAGCAGCTCCAACTACTGATTGCTAAGAGCCTAGTCATGCCCGCGCCGCCACCCCCGACACAGAAGAGGTATGAGTGCCCACACTGCGAGGACACTTTCGCCACAGAGCACGCGCTCAAAATCCACTGTGGCATCAGGCATCCGGCGCCGGACTCAGAACGTGCGCGGGAGAAGGCCCGCTTCAAATTTGACCCGGCAGTGCACTCCGCGGGGGGACTCCCCCACTGCAGGTCCTGTGGACGCAAATTCGCCAAGTGGCAATTCTTCAAGCACCACATTGAGGTCGGAGCTTGCGAGGCGATGGGCGGATCCTCCTTTGTGCACAAACCCCCCCAAGAGGTGGAGATGAGAGCTGAACTAGAGCCACCAGTAGCGCCGCCGGCAGCTACCGAGCCGCCGCCAGCTCAAAACCTGCCACTCGTTCAGAGGCCATTTTTCCTGCAATCGTGGCATAAGTGGGAAAGCTTACTGTCCAACGCCGCCCTCCGCCAGGAACTCAAGGCTCACTGCGTGCTGTGTCACTTCTGGGTAGCGGACTATCAGCACATCAAACAACATCAGCATCGCACACATTCGGAGATCCTGAAACCTCTCAAGGACAAAGTTGTTCGTATGTGCAGATCTTTCAAAAGTCAGCTAAGCAGTGGCCGAAACTGCCAGTGGTGCTCCAATCGGGTGTGGGCTCCCGCCAGGCACACAGATCAATGTCCTGTGCTGTATCAGATGATCCTAGCCGCGCAATACTGTCAATCCAATGCAGGTAGTGAAGATGCCGGGCGACAACAACATGCGGCCGGGAGCGACGAATGGAGCGGGCATCAATCCGGAGACGGACATCTTCGCCTACGTGAACTTCACGTCCCAGAGGGACAGGCAGGAGACTCCCCCGGAGAATCTACCCAACAAGAGGCCTCGTCCGGAGCAGTCGGCCACACGATCGCGGAGGAACCCCAGGCAGCAAGGCGGTCGACCCTCTGGGGGTGGTGGGGCCAAGGCCCCCAGTCTGGAAACCGTCCGGACCCTCACCAAGATCGTCATCCGTCAGGAAGATCAATTGGCCGAGCTACGTGGCGACAAAGGCTTCTTTCTTTTCCTGAAGGAGGAACCGGAGGTGAGCGTCATTCCGGCGCTGATACAAATCTCGAAGGATTGGCATGCTCGCCAGGACGCCGGCGACACCACCTTGCAAAGTCCGCTCCGCACGCTCTTGATGGCCTGCCTTGTGCGACGCCTACGGGAGCTGATCGTCTTGATGACTGCCACACCGGAATCAGTGAAACGGCTTCAGACAGCGGAGTGGATGGATCAGGCAGAGGAATGGACTTTCTTCAAATGGAGCCACCAGGAGAAAAAGCTGGTGAGGCACCCGGAGCGAGGCACCATCGCGCAGCCGGCTCTACTGGAGATCGTGGACTACCTCTTGGCGAACCTCAAGGGCGAGGTGGTGCAGAAATTCACGTCCAAGCAGAAGCTCTACGAGATGGAGGAGGAGAGCCCCACCACGGCGACCTTCTTCATGTCCATCTCCCTCCGGGGACCGGTTGCGCAGAAGGTGCACGAGTGTCTGGTTCAGCTGATTGGAGTGTCAGCACTGATGCTGGTGGGAGCCTCCCTCAAGAGGGAGATCCCGCGCCGCTCCCCCATGGTGCAACAGTTGGCGGAGGCAGTGTTCCGTTGAGTTCACAGGACGCTTCGGACCCATCGGTGCCTGAAATCACGTGCATGCCCCCCTTTACCCTTGTAAACGATGGCAATGCATGCTACATGAACTCCGTAGTCTGCGTCTTATGGTGTGCTGCAGCTTGCACCGGACAATTGCATGCGCTGCCGCAAGCTCTCCAGACCTTGACAGGACCGGGGATGCGAGCACGGCGCTCGCTGGGGTTTCTTCTTTTGGGGTGGCGGGGCGCCAGGATGCAGCATGACATAGCCGAGTTCCTGGATTTTCTTTTGCCCAAGGTTGTTCCCATGGGGGTGATGACATGGAGCGGCCGAAGACTACGGGAAGCGAGCGTCCAAGTTCCGCTTGTAGGGCCCCTAAATAAATGCCTCATAATTCCTGCCCCTCCTCGCCATACACCCGCACTTCAGGAGTTGGTGAATTGTTGGCACCAGCAGGAGGCATTACACGCCCTGGATGCGTGCCCGGCTTGGCTCTTCTTGCAACTCCCCAGGTTTGAGGTGGTGGAAGGACAGGTCGTGAAAACTCAGCAGCCATACCTCCTGACAGGTACCATCAAATTGCCAGTGTTCAGTGAGACGGGCACCCTACATGTCACGTGGCGAGACTACCATGTCGCATGCTACATACGACATCATGGTCATGTACCAACTTCAGGGCATTACACGGTCCTTGTAAACAGCAGCGAGCCATACCTACTGGACGATGACCGGATCCCGCAAAAAGCCACGGAGCCGGAGTTAGAGGATACATCGGTTTCCATGTACATCATTGCACTCTGTCGCAGTGACATGATTGCAGCAGCCGCTCCTAGTGCTCTTAGTGCTCGCCCGGGCCGTCAGCACTCCCCCAGGGCTGTCAACCCTCGGCATGATGCAAACCGGCAGCTCCATACCCAACATGAGGAGGGCACGCGAAACATGGCTCAGCAGTCACCAGGAGTTCCTGGAGATGTGGGTCAGGCGGCTGACGATGGACATTCATCTGCTACAGATGCGAATGGACAGTCTCGAGGACACTCTGCGGCGGCTGCTCATGCGACTACCTCCTGCGCTGACGGCACCGGGGAGGAACAAAGTCACGAGTGAGGAGGTGCCCTCCGAGCTCGACACCCTGGATGACTGAGTAGCTGGGATCTTGCTCCAATTTTTGATGGACGCAGGATGCTTACGCAGATGCGCTTTTGCGTGCGTGGAACAGCTCGCATTCCTTTTATAGGCGCTTTTTAAACAAGTAGAGTGCATGCTCAAACGGAGCATTCGTGCCATTCCGCTTCAAGCGGACGAGGCGACAGGAGTCGTCCTGAAGGCGCTCGCTAGCCGGATCGAGGGCCAGGCTGCGATGGAAGAAGAAGAAGATGAAGATGAATGATGATGACGATGATGATGACGAAGATGATGACGCTGAGCTTTACCATCAAGCTCTAAGCTTTGTAATACCTATGCGAAGTGGCAGCATTATGGACGTTGTTACATCCACTGAATGTCGAAGGTCCTGAAAACCTAGCTAGCTAGCTAACTAGCTAGCTGGCTAGCTAACTAACTAACTAACTAAC